ACATAAGAAGAACAAAATAATATCGACAAGTCCAAGTTGACCATTTTTTATTTTTAACGATTAAACATCCCCATCGAACAGCCACTTCTCAAACGTTAAGTCGTTGGCTTAAAGTTGTCCTTAAAAGTAACGGCATTAATACGGATCTGTTTAAAAGCCATTCAACAACACATGCTTCAACATCTGCAATAGAACGAGCCGGGGTAAGCATTGACAAAAAGCTAGTTTTTAATATAAAGCAATCATCCTTTAAAATTAAATTAGGGTAAGTGAAATATTGTCATCCAAATTATAGCATACAATTGTAATATGGAAATAAACTCGTTACTTTACGCTTTATAATTAGTTAAACATCTACAGCGTGTTAAGTATTTGGTGAAGACCGACGTGAAGAGATATGCCCCTTCCCTTTATCAGGATGCACCGTAGCATAATTTCAAATGCAATCATATCCGCCGCTTATCGACCGAGAACTAGACAAAAGTGTACAGTACCATTTGCAAAATTTGAACTGTCATGGAAAACAATAGAAAACGAAAACAAGCGTTAAGTATTCAGTGTAAAGAACTCATTGCAAATGTACTACGTACAATTCATGAATGCTGAAAAAGAACAAAAAGGTTTTATTCTTCCACTTGAAAAAGTACAAGAACGTATAGGGGCAGCAACCGGACTAAGTTTATTAACCATAAGAAGGGTTGCTTTGGAGAAGAAAAAAGTAGAGGCCAGAGGTTTTATGAAACCCAAATATAATAAGAGACACCTACGTCCTAAAACTGACTGCGACAAGTTTAACCAAGATGTCATAAGAAGAACGCTGAATAAATTTTATGCTACTAAAGAGATGATCCCAATACTGAAAAATATTCACCAGAAATACCAAGACGACACGGGGTATTGCGGTTCGAAAGTTAGTATCTGGCGAGTACTGNTATAAAAACAGGAGATACAGCAATTGTACTCACGTTTTAAAATCCTCCCAATACTCCTGATCTTTTAGTGGAACGTTTCGTCAGGAATTGTCCAGTCGAAGGTGAAGGACTTTTCAGATGATGAAATGATGTTCCAGGGGTCGGAAGTCTTCTCCAGGGGTGTTGGTTCCTGATGTGGATAGAGACGTCGCAGAAGTTGAAACTCTGAGGTGTTTGAGTTGAAATTTGTTGATTTCCACCTTCTCTATCCTGTTCCGGGCAGCGCCAGTTAAAACGTACGATGTTCGAATGGAGTTTTTAAAAACTTTGTTTTAACACATTTATTTGGTTCGGTTTTCAGGAACCTGGATTACACTTTATTTTATCTTAACTATTACACAAAAATGATGGCAAATGAACAACTAGCATAGGTTTGACCTATAAAGTAGACTGTTGAATGAATGAGAAAATTGTGAGCTTATATACTAATTAGATGTGTCATGGCCGGTGGTATAATTAATAGGTAGGGGCAAAGGTCGCTGGATGTAACTCATCCAAATTATAGCATACAATTGTAATATGGAAATAAACTCGTTACTTTACGCTTTATAATTAGTTAAACATCTACAGGGTGTTAAGTATTTGGTGAAGACCGACGTGAAGAGATATGCCCCTTCCCTTTATCAGGATGCACCGTAGCATAATTTCAAATGCAATCATATCCGCCGCTTATCGACCGAGAACTAGACAAAAGTGTACAGTACCATTTGCAAAATTTGAACTGTCATGGAAAACAATAGAAAACGAAAACAAGCGTTAAGTATTCAGTGTAAAGAACTCATTGCAAATGTACTACGTACAATTCATGAATGCTGAAAAAGAACAAAAAGGTTTTATTCTTCCACTTGAAAAAGTACAAGAACGTATAGGGGCAGCAACCGGACTAAGTTTATTAACCATAAGAAGGGTTGCTTTGGAGAAGAAAAAAGTAGAGGCCAGAGGTTTTATGAAACCCAAATATAATAAGAGACACCTACGTCCTAAAACTGACTGCGACAAGTTTAACCAAGATGTCATAAGAAGAACGCTGAATAAATTTTATGCTACTAAAGAGATGATCCCAATACTGAAAAATATTCACCAGAAATACCAAGACGACACGGGGTATTGCGGTTCGAAAGTTAGTATCTGGCGAGTACTGCGAAAACTCAGACTAATAGGAAATTGTTAGTAAAAAAAGCAGAGATTCGACATTTGAGTTGCTTTTTTCAAAAAAAAAAAAAATGAGAGCTTTTACAAAGTCAGTTGTAGTTACTGACAATGCCTTATATCACAACGTGTAAAATGAAAAATGCCCTAATTCGAGCTCGTTAAAAACAGAGATGCAGAATTGGCTACGAAAGAAACATTTAGATTTCGAAGACAGTATGCTTAAAGTAGAATTCTACCAAATTATAAAACTGCATAAGCCGAATAAAATAATTCCGAGTGGTCTGTATTCTGTCGAAACTACCAGACGCGGATCGCGATTTCGATCTTTTTGGATCTTATCAGCGCGTCGCAGGCAGCTCCGACAGAACTCAGACCAACTTTTACCTGCTGTCTTAACAGTGCGTTTTAGAAAATACTACAAATGGAGCAGTAAACGCCATGTGTAGCACGATGCTACATTTTAGGATTACATATGCTCCAACAAGGTCCACTTGTGTGGATATCTACTTGCTGAAAACGAATCCCGGCGTAGCCAACCTCAACGTGATAGGCACGTTAGCTTAATCGAATAAAATAATTCCGAGTGGTCTGTATTCTGTCGAAACTGCCAGACGCGGATCGCGATTTCGATCTTTTTGGATCTCATCAGCGCGTCGCAGGCAGCTCCGACAGAACACAGACCAACTTTTACCTGCTGTCTTAACAGTGCGTTTTAGAAAATACTACAAATGGCGCAGTAAACGCCATCTGTAGCACGATGCTACATTTTAGGATTACGTATGCTCCAACAAGGTCCACTTGTGTGGATATCTACTTGCTGAAAACGAATCCCGGCGTAGCCAACCTCAACGTGATAGGCACGTTAGCTTAATCGAATAAAATAATTCGAAGTGGTCTGTATTCTGTCGAAACTGCCAGACGCGGATCGCGATTTCGATCGTTTTGGATCTCATCAGCGCGTCGCAGGCAGCTCCGACAGAACACAGACTAACTCTTTTTTGCATAAGCCTAAGTTTAAGATCATCGACATCGACGAAATAATACAAGAAGCTGGTCATGATGTTTGTCGATTACCGCCATATCATCCAGAATTAAACCAAATTGAATATGTTTGGGCAGCTCTGAAACATTTTGTTACCGAACGCAATGTGTCTTTTAACATGGGTGACGCAAAAAAAAATTGTGAAGAATTTTTCCAAGTTTGTCTATCGAAAAATGGGGAAATGTGTACAACAAAGTTATTAACAAGAAGATGCATACACATTAGAAAATCCAGCGGTCGAAATGGTCATTGAAGAGTTGGTTATTGAATTGGGAGTCGACGATTAATCTTCTGACTCAAACAATGATGACATTGAAGATTAAATGACAAGTTAATTAACTTAACTCTTTACACACTTATAAAACTCTTGCTTTGTTTTCTATTGTTAATTTATATACATTTTTGATTTAACGAATTGTTAAACATTTTCGTCTAGTACTGTACAGTTCTAGCCGATCTCCCAAGACCGCCCATCGAGAGCTCTGCTCGTTCAAGCTTGTTCCAAGTATTTCTGTCTTGCTCACGCCTAGAGTGTATTTCTTCTATCTTCGCGCAGATTTCTTCAAGGTCACATCTGTAACTACTTGTAAGGAAGTTCGTTCCATATTATGTGAGTACAGTCTTATATAGGTATGCGCGCACGCATCCAAACACCACAGTTAAACTTACGGTATTCTAAAATGAAATATAGTGTAGATTTTTATATCTAAAAGAAACAGTTTGATAAAATTTATGTTTGTATTTGGAAAAGAAACAAGTGTTAGTGAACCACATTATAATATCCTCAAAAAGCATTACAAAGGATTTGTAAATTAAAAAGTTTTGCCACAAAAATCCGCCGTGCATTTACACAGCACTTAATGCAATTACTTTTCAAGACAATTATCTAATGATTTGATTCAATGTTACATTCTATTAAACAAAACCCATACACAAAGTATTCTTCGATTCTTATTGATGTTTTTAATAAATTTATATAGAAAATTCTACATTCCATGTAAATGACAAGATAAACAACGATCTTCATATATTTTTTATCGTGTCGAAAGATTATGAGTTTGAATTCNAAAAAATAATACCACTTACAGGTAAGAATGTTGAATAAAATACCCTAAAATGTCTGTCTTTATTATAACACCTTCCAGGACTGCGTTGAGATTCCAGACTTTTTCTAATCTTCGACCAGGCAATAATACGTCGGTAAATAAGCTTAGTATTCTTAAATTATCAATGGATAATTAATACTCTTTTTTTTTATTATTATTTGTCTTAATTAGACTTGGATCTCGATCCAACACAAAACTAGCCAGATCGGCTATTTCAACACAACGTGAACTATACGTTGTTTCACTGCTGCGGTCAACCGCCGTCTGTTTCACCTTTATTCTGCTTTCTTAAAACAATTACTTATTTTTGTGTTTAGTTTATAAGTGGTGCTGGTGTGATTCTTATTGATGTTTTTAATAAATTTATATAGAAAATTCTACATTCCATGTAAATGACAAGATAAACAACGATCTTCATATATTTTTTATCGTGTCGAAAGATTATGAGTTTGAATTCTTTACAGAAGATTATTAATGCTGTTTCGAGAAAAAGGGCGTACTTTTTTTTTAGTTTAATTAACCGAAAGCGTGCAGACGATTTGATAACTTTATCATTTCATTATCTTAAACAATCGAAATAAAAATTATCCAATGTAGATTAAGAAAACAGCTCATTTTAACGTAACGCTAAATTATTCTTTAAATGAAATTAGATTAAGACTGATAACAACTTTCAATCGAAGCTACTCATTCTTTATTTAAACCTTTACAATTCATCATCACCTTATCATTTAAGAATAAAGAAAACATCTTTTAAAAAATCTAGCTATTTAATTCGAAACATGTAATCTTATTTTGTCAATCCAAAATAATGCTGTTAACTTCTTGTACTAGAAAATTGTTGTTGTCATTGTGTTTGTCTTCGTAAGTTTTATAAATATCTGTAAGATAAGAAAAGCATTTTAAATGAGGTATTATTTATAAAACAGAACAATTGGAGCCAAAGAAGGGTGAAATAAATCTATTTACTACACAAAATTTAGAAGCGTTCGAAATGTGGTGTTACAAACGAATGGAGAGGAGAAAACAGATGTTACTATGGAAGTCAACTAGAAATAGGGGAGATAGGCTGGTTAGGTTAGGTTAGGTTAGGTTGGATGTTACTATAGATGTCAACGGAAAGTAGGGGAGATAGGCTGGTTAGGTTAGGTTAGGTTGGTAGGTTAGGTAAGATACCTTCTTAGGCACGAAGGGACTAGAGGTAGACCTAGATTAGATTACTGGTCACAAATTGTTCTAGTTTTAGGGAAATACGAGGATTTTCTCAGGATAGGAAAAAGTGGAAGTGTGTGTTCAACTAGTCTTAGGACTGACGATCTTATGATGATGATGATGATAAAGTTTATTTCACCCGTTTTGTCACTGATTGCTCCACGTACTATTACTGCAAGGGGAAAAATGGAATCTAATTATTTGTCGTTTTTACGTACTTATACTATTCCATGAACACGGTTATCATTCTTTTCTTAATATGGCACTCGGTCCCGTCTTTCTGTCTGGTTGTGCAACTTCTGTTGGGAGAAAGGTATTTGTTATTGTTCGAACCAACATGATAGAAAAGTCATCAGAAAAGAAAACTCCTCCATCTTGTTAAAAATGGTTTATGGTTTATCGTTTCTTTATTCTTTATTTTACTTTTAGTTGAGCTATTGTCAAAGTTTTTACCGTTTTTATAAACGTCACAGAATTTACTTTTTATCTTACCTGGACAAACGCCATTGCTGGACAATTTGTAATCTGCAAAAAAATATTGAGGTTAGGTTTTACAAAAAACTGCCTTAGATAATGATACTAAATCTTTATAGTTACTTCGTAATGCACTTTACTTTGAATTTGAAATGCAGTGAATTGGGTTCGGTTTGTTTCACAATTGTATTTTAATTTTTGACGGTCGTTTCGGTTATTATACCATTTTCAAAAGAGATAAAGATCAAAAGCACATAAAGTTGTTTAATTATTTGACTGTCACCCTGGAAAACAAAATATAACTTAAATACTGAATGCTCCCAGATGATATATTTAAAAAGTGGAATAATGAGAAAGTTATCTGGCTGCAATGCGTTTAGCTTTCGATATTTTTAGGGTTTCAAAGAGGTCTAAATTTTTTCCTTTATTATATTTATGCAAGAGTTTAAAATTACTAAGGTACATGTTATGTTTGCTTGAGATAGATACAATGATCAGAAAAAGTCATTGTTTATTTTGTCATAGATGTAGATGGAACAAAACAAAATAGCTCGAACCCCAACGTCAAGTTGTCCGAAGCAGTTTTCGGTAACAAGGTTACCTTGTTCAGGGACTGAAGTGAACTAAACCTAAAAGGGAACTAATCCTATTTTATACTAATAAGGTTGGTGTTCAATGGACCTTAACAATCACAAAATTAATTATTCCCAATCTCCCTAACTAACATAAGATTTTTAATATTAATATTATGTCCTTCAGTAAGAAAATGTTTGGCAAGACTAGATTTTTCTTCTACCAAACCGTGCATGAGCTAAATGCTCCTTAAATCTAGTTTTGATTGTGCGCCTAGTTTGTCAAATATATTTTTTACTACAGTCATTACAGCTAATTTCATATATCCCCAACTTTTCAAGTAACCCTAAGGATAAAATTCCTTTCTTAGAAAACTTAACAACAACGGTCCTATCCCTGGATCTCCGCTATTTAGTCTAGTTTAATTACTTTTGTGATTGTTAAGGTCCATTGAACACTAACCTTGTTGTCATTGAGCCGTGGTTTCCTGAACCTTAACAATTATTAGTATAAATTAGGATTAGCTCCCTTTTAGGTTTAGTTCACTTCAGTCCCTGAAGAAGGTAACCTTGTTACCGAAAAGTGCTTCGGACAACTACAGCAAAGAATACAGAACCAAAGAAGCCTACATCAGTGGGATTTGGTGCCGCAGTAGAATGCTCAGTTCGACGGTAGGAGTCGCATGGTCGAAATAGGCAGGCTGCAGATGGAATTATCAGCAGTCGTTGGCCATGCGTCGACCACAGTAGTTATGAGTAGGGGTGCGCATAAAATTTTTTTTCATTCAGGATGAAAAATATTTTAATTAGTAGCTGATTATTATGAAAATGATGTTCAATATTTACATTTCAGAGAATAGCAACAGTTTACTCGGCTATCTGCCCTTTGCGCATCGAAATTTAGTATGTATTTCTTAATTCTCAAATGATATTAAATGTTGATTAACAAATACAACAAAATTACAAAAAAAATATTGGTTGAGAATAAACAATTCCATTGATAGTAGTGTAATTGCCATTTTATAATGTTTTATCATTATCAATATTTTCTATTCTGACTGTTGCTATTCTCTGAAATGTAAATTTTGAACATCATTTTCATAATAATCAGCTACTAATTAAAATATTTTTCATCCCGAAAGAAAAAATTTTTATGTGCACCACTACTCATAACTACTCTGATCGACACATGGCCAGCGACTGCTGACAATTCCATCTGCAGCCTGCCTATTTCGACCATGCGACTCCTACGGTCGCAGTTAGAACTGAGCATACTACTGCGACACCAAATCCCACTCATGTGGACTTCTTTGGGTCTGTATTCTTTGACTACAGTGTCGTGTTTTGGCGTTGGGGTTCGAGCCATTTTCCAATCTTCATATAGGTGTAGATGTTCACTTCAGCTAAATTTAATGACGGCCAATTTCACCAATGTATCCAATTTATTTGATAAACTCCGTTTGTCTTGCAGCAGATCCATCTTATCCCTATTATTTAAAAGTAGCGTACTCAAATTTAACTTGTGCTAATGTTTAACTTAATATAATGTAGCATCGTGCTACAGAGGGCGTTCACTGTGCCGTTTGTAGTATTTTCTGAAACGCACTGTTAAGACAGCAGGTAAAAGTTGGTCTGTGTTCTGTCGGAGCTGCCTGCGACGCGCTGATGAGATCCAAAAAGATCGAAATCGCGATCCGCGTCTGGCAGTTTCGACAGAATACAGACCACTTCGAATTATTTTATAATAACATAATTTATTGCAAATTTCACTAGTTATGCGTGGGATAAAATTAATGAATTGATATTGTTTATCGTTCTTTTACATTCGGAAAAGTACAAAAAAATACAATTGTGAAACAAACCAAACCATTTTCTCTTCTTAAACATATTCACTTTATTTTATTTTTATTTTACTGCTCACCGTCTCCTTGCAAACAGTTGTATCGGTTCATTTCACAATTATTTGAGAAAGTTTTTTTATTGCCTTTTCCATTAATACCACAAACAGGTTTGTAGTCGTCGGCCGTACAAAGTGGACAATCTTGGTCTTTCTCTAATGATGCTGTTTCACCATTACTCCAGAATTGAGCCAAGAAAACGACTTCAGTAAAATAATGTAAAATTATTGTCATTGCAGTTCTATTAGGTACAAACAACAAAAAGAATAAATAAAGAAATTACTTTAGCTAAAAGTAACGCTGCAAGTGTCTTCATACTGTTTCTTGATAAGAGAGGACCTAAAGTTAACAGAATAGTAAAGGTTGGTCTGTTTTATAGGTATTTGCTAATTTAATATATTTTTAAGGCATTATGAATTGATGATATAAAAACCAGAGCTGTCTCGAAGATTAAAAATTAAATGTTTTGAATTTGGCTAATTAAATAGTCCAAATACAAAAAAAAACGGTAAATACCGGCCTCTTGAAATGCCACAGGAACTTTTTTCCAAAATAATTCTTTTTAGTCTGATCGTTCTGCTAATTTGAATGGATTTTTTTACTGTCGACACTTTTTTCGTCCACTTCTAATATGTGGCTGTTATCAAGGTAAATCAGTTAAAATTTTGTAAAAAAAATACGCGTGTACATTTTTATCGACTACATTACATAATAATTGAAAATTATTAATTGAATTGAGAAAAGATTTCACATAAAGCCGTACAGCAAAATATGCATTCGAAAATAAACAGTGAAACGGTGTGACACGTTTTACTTACTATAGAAGATCTATATATTAATACGTAAAGAAAAACTCACAGTTTCACATAGACTTTTACCAAACATAAATATTTGTTGCCAAAACAATCCTATTCTGATTAAGCATTAATGTTTTTCTTCTTATACTTTCGATAATTCCAACAGTTTTCGATAACGGTAATTCTCCCTTAAAATTCTCCACACCGTATAACGCGGAATTCCTGTTTACATTAAACAAGCCAGAAAAATTTATGTTCTAATCATGTAAACGGATTCGTACATCCGCAAATGAACTTAAAAAGAAACAAGAAACAATCATGGATATAGTTATACCATGTAATGAATGTTTCAACATACAAACGTTAACAATTGCTTAGGCGGATGTTCTTTGATGTATTGACACCATCAGTCCGGGATTATTTTGTGGACAAAGTAACAAATGTGGAAGACATATCAGAAAGTGAAATAAAATAAAATCGAGATATTGCTAAAAATGAGTTAATCAAAAAGGAAGAAAGGGAAACGAGTAGATATGAAGAATTATTGAGAAAATGAAAAAAATAAGGGAGAAATAGTTAAGTACTTATATAAAAAGATAAAGTGAACTGTAAAGTTAAAGAGAAGATAGAAGTAGTAGGTAAATGAAGAAAAAAATAAGAAACGTAAAACTAATGTAGTAGAGGAAGTTATAAAAACAATATAAAATAGAGAAGTTGAATATTACAGCTTCTGGAATGACAAGTTGGAGGTTACTGTAAGTACAAGGTGTCTAATAAATATGCGGAGCTTGCAGGAGGTGATAGCGCACTCTAAAACAAGAAAATCAAGTAGATGTTAGGTCCAACAGTTCATCTAGAACCTTCGAGAGGAACGTATTTGAAAATATATATCGGAAATAGACAGTCCGACACTGCTAAACACGCATATAAATACGACAACGCAATGCCGCATTCAGTCAGCTGGCAATTAGCATATAAATCAATGGCACTAGGTCAGTGTATTACTATTTCACTATACGACAATAGGGATGATGACAGTAACCAAGAATCACTAAAATTATGATGTAAATTAATAATATAGAACTAAAGTATTCTAAAAAACAGTATTTGTTTTTTATTACAACTGCGCTTAAGTTAATTTTAGTAAAAATAAAAGTACAAAACCTGACTATCGGCCATATTAGATCAAACGCCAATAGGAGGCGCGTGACGTCACGCTTTCGTAAACATTCTAACGTTCTGTTTAACGGTCGAACTTGTTAGCTTGTTTTGCTCATTTAGATATTATTTGCTCTGTGGCGAAATAACTCTTATTGTTTTTTTGTATGTAGATAAATGTTTTTTCTAGTTTTTCTATTTCAAATATTTCATTTCAAATAATATTTCATTCCAAATATTATTTCACTTCAAATATTATTTCAATTCTTTTCAATTACTTATATTATAAATACTTTGGTTTCCTTTCAATCTAAACTCTATTGTTCTCTCAATCACTTTTACCCAGAATTCCAACTTCAGCTATACCTGCATGCGCTCCCATACTAATATGTATCTGGTTTTACTCTTAATTGCTTTCTCTTTAATTCTATACTGTCTAATTCTATGTATTCCTATAAACTAGTGTCTTCACCCTCTCTCTAACTACTTTTCCTTCTAGAACTTTCTATCAAATTTACGAACAACCCTGTCCTATAAATACTCCAAAAATTCTTATCTATACACAGTTTTCGTCTACCGCCTCTACTACCATTCGTAAGTGCTTCTGTATTCTATTGTTATTCGCTACATTGTTTTCATTTTTGTTGTTATCTTTGTTATTGTTACTGTTTTGTTATCTTGCTCTTTTTGTCACTTTGTTCTTATATGTCTGTTGCATTTTTCCTGTGCCTTTTTGTTACTTGTCTTTTCGTTGTTATTGTTATAAATTGTTATTTGTTATTAGTGTTTTCTTGGTACTTAAATAATTTAACACCAAAAGACACTAAGGCTCCATTTATCTGATTTTTAATAGTTAAAAATTAGTATTGTGTTATTATAAGAGTGCGAAAAAGAAAAGTTAGCTATGGAACAAGGATTTATCAAGGCTTGGTCTCGCCTTGCAACATTAAGCCACGCATTTCTCACTTTTTTTTTCATTGGTGTTAGCCTCTTCTCTTAAGGCCAGTGGCTAGTTTTTTATTGTCTCATTTCGGGACTTATCGATATGGGAAGTTATTCAGAAAGGAAGAGAGAATGATGGAAGCTAAGAAACAGATTACTGGAAATACCGAATTGCACAAAAATATTTTAATTTAACCAAGAAGACACTTTTGAGGACGTGTTTCACTCACATACATAGTGAGCATTTTCGACGCAAGCCTGTCTATTATTTATTATGTTATGCAATTCAGCAAACTGAACAATAATATTATAGTAGGCTGAAACCGTTTCATCACATAGTTGTAAAAGAACCGACGTAACTTACCTCATTCCTAACCTAATCTAATTCTCAAGAGTTGATTACGTTCCCTTTTTCCGCAGCCCAAAAACTATGTGGATAAATGGTTTACGCAACCCAAATATATATTACATGTACTTTTGTTAAGCATTCTGAAACTGCATAACATAACATAACAACTGAAATTTGAAGGAAATCAGAAAGGTATGGTTTCAGCGAGATATCCTATAGTTTATAAATGTTCATTCAACATGTTACAATTAAGAAAAATTGATAACGTGATGAAGAAGCAAGGGAACAAATATACGAATTCATGACGGGAAACCGACGGGGCTCAGATCACATACTGGCGGAAGTAACCTTTAAAAGGAATTCAAGAGAAAGCCATTGAAGATTGGATGCGTTCAGTGCAGAGAAATTCAGTTGCGCAGCAGCCAGTTTTTGCGAGTTGCAGTTAGGGCATCGACTACATATAACCTCTGGACGTTTACATTCGTAACTGGCGAGGCGACACTAAAAACCGCAAGACTCCGTACCTTTTGCGCAGGCGCGAAATTGTCTCCTGTCAAGAATGTCTATGAGAATCGTCTTGCTGCCCTTTTTCATATTTTTAAATCGTTCTAACCTCTAACTACATTTTTAACCGTCAATTCAGTTCATGGTTAATCGTGTATGCTGATTTATTTCATTCGCTTTTGGATTTCCTTCATCTGCAGAATTGTGCACATGCAACTGTGTTTAATCTATGCATTAAACAAAGACTCATAATCATTGTTTAAAAAGCGAATTTATTCTGCTTTCTTAAAACAATTACTTATTTTTGTGTTTAGTTTATAAGTGGTGCTGGTGTAAATAGTGTCGAACAATTTAATGTATTTCTTTATATTATAGACGTTTTTACGTTATATCTGTTATATTAATTAATAATTTTCAAAATCAGAAAAATATAAATAACAAAGAAGTACATCAAGACCGTGAAACGCAATTGAAGATAGCAATGGAAACGTATCGCAATGCAATGAATCAACTGGATGATGAAACCTTTCAAGTGGCACTCAAGGAATTTGGAAAGCATACAGAAGAAGTTCAAAAACAAAGTAGAAATTTAAGAAAACGTAAAATGGTTAAACAGGAGTATTCCCTATCTAAGAAAAGATAAAGTACGTATGTAATCTAATCCCAAACATGAGTTTTTTTAAACATTAAATGAGAAACCTTGACTAAAAGTTTTTTTATTTTTCTAGATGATAAAGTTAACGAAAGCAGAAAGGAGTACATTAGGATTCAAATATACAAAACCATTTTGTATGTACTCTTCAGAAAGATTTAATCTCATCGAAACAGTTGTACTTTGTATTTTAATAAAAACCTTTGAAAAAGTTTAAAGTGAGAATTGTTTCTTCGTTTTTTGTGATGTTTTAGCTTTGTTTCATAGAAACCTGTCCATAATTACAATAAATTTAATAATTAATTAAACATGTTTGTTATGTATTTATTTTGCATTATAAATTTGTTGAAATAATTTTTTATTTTATTTTCCATTCATATTAATAAAGAATGCGTTTACATTGTATATGAGTATCATTTTTCTGCCTACGTTATCAATTATTAGTAGATTACTGCCCAGTTTATTTCTACTCCTCAGATCAGAACGCTTGGGATCGTTTGTTTGAATTCGAATAAAAAGGCGGCAAGAGCAAAATCATAGACATGACTCAAAATTATTTCGCGCCTGCACAAGAGGTACAGAGTCTTGCGGTTTTTAGCGTCGCCTTAACTGGCGAACTCGAAGCGGCCTGCTTGCGGCATTCGGACTATCTGTGTTCGTACCGACAGCAGTAACTGAATCATGAGCGTCTACTTTTGATTGTGCTTTGGTGTTGGCCGAATAGTGCCTGAAGGATTACTTTAAGAGGCGAACCTGTCTTAACCTCTCGATACTGTCCCGTGAGATGCGGTCCTGTATTGGGGCGTGAAGGAGCCCATACAGCATGTTTAAC